CATGGGGAATAACTACCACCAGCTGCCCAGCCACTCAACCAGGCCTAGCCAAGTTGACACACAAACATAACCACCACAGCCACTCACCAGCAGGTTACTTCATGTCTCAGGGCCTTGGTCTTATAATCTGAGAAATGGGATTAGAGGAGTTTACCTCACAGGACTTGTGAAGTAACAAGTTAATGGACAAAAGGCTGTATGACCATGTCTGCCACCTAGCACCGTGTTTGAGTTAGCTCTTTGGTAGTTTATCTGGGTGTGAAGAAGGGCATGGTCTTTTGCCACCTCCATTTCCATGTTACTACTTTGTTGAAGTCTGTGTTTGCTCTCAAATTTCACTGCTGTTATTTTTCCAGGCTCTTGGGATGCTATTTTGGCATAAGCATAACATTGAAAAATCATTGGCTGATTTGCCCAACTTTACCCCCTTCCCAGATGAGTGGACTGTGGAAGATAAAGTCTTGTTTGAGCAAGCCTTTAGTTTTCATGGGAAAACTTTTCATAGAATCCAACAAATGGTAAGTATGTGAAACTGTCCTCCCTCCGGTCCCCCATCCAGCCCCTCCTCTGCAGCAGCCCTGAGGGAAGGGGCATTGTCCTCAAGTAGGAGCATTCCCACTGTTAATCAAGCTCCCCTTAGAACAAGCAGCTCATTGTGGAAAGCTGTCTGGTGGGCTCCTGCCATCAAAGCTTACTGACATTTGCATTAAGTATTGAAGTGAACTTTTTAAAAATAAGCCAAAAATATGTTATGAACATTGAATATGTGTAAACTTTGATTCATTTTGTGTTACAATTTTCCATAGGATGTTTCACTTACAGTCAAACTTCTGTTATTTAAAAATGTATTGATGAAGATTCTTTTGTCAGATTTTTCCTTATTTAAAAAAAACAAACAAACCTGTGACTGACTTCTTACTTTGTGAGTGACATTTAGTAAACGTATCTGAACACACTTGACTTTTATAAAGACCAGCTTTGAATCTAAACAAAATCGTTTTTTACATTTAAGCTTCCTGATAAATCTATTGCAAGTCTAGTGAAATTTTACTACTCCTGGAAGAAGACCAGGACTAAAACCAGTGTGATGGACCGCCATGCCAGGAAACAAAAACGGGAGCGGGAGGAAAGGTGAGCCCGAAGCTGGGGATGTTGTCTCACCACTTGAGGGGTGGGATCTCGGCAGTGTTGAATGCCTACGAGCTGGAGGCTGCACTAGTTCCTGGGAATGGTAGAGTGACTGGATTTACCCCATAACTTCCTGGTGGAACCAGGATTTGCAGAAGTATGTCCTCAATATGTCTAAAGCTCCATGTGCAGGAGCTCTGTTAAATCCTGAGTATGACGTTCTTCACAACTCTGCCTATGGCCGGGAGCCTATATTTTGAAGGAGCGCCCTTGCCTTGATATCCCCCTGCCCCTGCAGGGTCTTAAGTGTCTTCTTTAATGAAAAGGAGGCTTATTGTCCAGGTTGAAATTTATTTGGTATCTTTATATAAGACTTATTCAACATGTTTTTATGTTTGGTGCATAAAAAACAAGCAAAAAACGTTTAAATTTTCTTCTTCCCCTTTCAGCCATCCATTTTGTGTCTGCATGTGTGAGAGAGAGACATCTGATAAGTCTTTCACACATCTGTTACACAACCATGAAGGGGAGCTTAGTGAGAAGATTTCTTACCATTCCCTTTGTCAGTCTCTTCTCAGTCCTCATATACATGGCATAGCCTATCAGAAATGGCTGTGTGGCCACGTTCAGAAGTGGGGTGGGGGCGATATGCCGTGCAGTGGGCGTGCGTCGTAACTCCGAAGGTTCTACTTACACACTCACAGGCAAGTTAGTTTACTACGAACCCTCTCCCCAGGCCTCTGTTTCCTCAACTCTGAAGTAAAGGTCCTTAAAGTCCACAAGGCAGTACACGACCATAATACAGCTTTTGTGTTAGAGTGGTGGGGATACAGTGACTTTTAAAAATTATAATATCTGCCTGTCTATCAGAAGGAAGATTGGGCAATCTACTTCTGTAGTGATACCACCTCAGAAAAACCTAAGGGAGGGGTCGCTGTGAGTCGGATCTGATCCAACGACAGTGAGTTTGGTGTTTTTTTTTTTTGTTTTTGTTTTTGTTTTTTGCCTTGTTTATAATACATTATTTTTGTAAATTAACAATACAAAATAAAATGGAGGAGGATGAACAAGAAGATCTCAAGGTCCTTTCTCAGGACATTATTTATGATTCCAAATGAAAGAGAGTAACATATGAGGACAGATTGAGAGAATTCAGATTGGGCTCAAGTATGGCATGAGAGCAATGCTGGAAACATCTCCAGAGCAGTTTCTGGCTTCACACTCTAGAAAGTCGTTGACCTTGCTACATCTGTCTAGTTTATGGTCTGCAACATGCATCCTAGTGGGTATGTTTATGAATCAGTGCTCTTACTAACCAAAGAAAGGTCCCAAACACTACTGCATTTGTTTCTGGTGTTGTGGCAACTTTTGATTAAAATTGTTCATTTCGTTATATGTTAGGTCTGGTTTATTGTTTTATAAATTGGGCCTATTGCTAGAAGGAGGTACAGTCTACTAAGCAAAAGTAAGGATTAAATGAGGAAATAGCCTGGGATTTGTTATGCTTGAATATAAAGTCATAAGAGTAAGGCCAGCGTACCTGTGTTCTCACTACCATAGTGCTTTTCTTTGCGTTACTACTGGGGGGAAGGGATGCTTGCTCCATGTCCCCGTGCACCTTCTCCACTGTAAGCTGCAGACAGAGGGACACTCTGCCATGGCATTAAAATCTGCAAGGTTGTTGGCTGTGAAAGTGATGACAGGAACTAGAACAAAAGTCCCTCACCCCCCAGGCTCTTTGCCCACATGGACACTCCTTTTTCAGCTGGAATATCTTGCCACCTTGACAATGGGATGGGGACAGTGTAGTGCAGTGGGCGTGCACCAAGACTGGATGTCAGAAGCAGAGTGGAACACTGGCATTTGAAGACCTGAGTGTTCTGCCACCACCATTTTTCAGTGATTTTAACTGTGCACCACTGGGCAGGCTGCTGGCTTCCATGAACCTTGGTTTTCTCATTTTTCAAATAGAGTTTCGTATATACCACAAGGCTTTTTTTGGGGGGTGGAGGGGACATTTAAGAAACACTACATGAAAAGATGTTAAATGAAAGTATGTGAAGGATCATATAAATACGAATGTGCTTTTAAAAAAATACTTCAGGCACAATTGTGAGATAGACTGTTCTAAACTTGAGAAGAAAACTACAAATCACAGAGTAACTGCAAAGAAAAATAATAAACCTTTTCATCAAAATAAAAACACAAACACAAATATTTAGCAAATACTAAAACAATAGCAATGAGGAAATGATAACATGATTCATAAACACAGTGAGTTCAACACAGAAAATTATATGGAACAAAGATACCAGCAACACCATGAAAAAATACAACAAAATGACAGCAACAAATTCATACTTATTGATAATTACACTGAATGTAAATGGATTAAATGTACCACTCGAGACAGAGTTGCAGACAGGATAGGAAAACATAACGTAAGAATATACTGTCTACAAGAGAGTCACCTTAGAGACAAAGACAAAAAAGATTAAAAATCAAAAGTTGGAAAAAGATACATCGAGCAAATGGCAATCAAAAAAGAGCAGGAGTGGCAATATTAATTTCTGATAAAATTGACTTTAAGACAAAAACTACCTTAAGAGACAAGGAAGGACATTATATAATGATTAAAGGATCAGTTGAACATGAGCACATAACCATAATACATATCTATGCACCCAGTGGCTCAAAACCAAACCAAACTTACTGCTGTCGAGTCAGATCTGACTCATAGCGACCCCTTCTTGGGTTTCCAAGGCAGTCTCATTACGGATGTAGATTGCCCAACTTCCCTCGAGAAGTGGCTAGTGGGTTTGAACTGCCAGCCTTCTGGTTAGCAGTCAAATGCCGTAGAGCCCCAAAGTACATAAATCAGACTTTAAAAGAATTGAAAAGAAAAATAGGTAACTCCACAATAATAGGTAAAAACTCACCGCTGTCAAGTCAAATCTGACTCACAGTGACCCCTCCTTGAGTTCCAAGGCGGTATCACTACAAAAATAGATCACTCAGTCTTCTTTCCGAGGAGTGGCTAGTGAGTTTGAACCACCAGCCTTCTGGTTAGTGGTCAAATGCCCTTAGGTACTACACTACCTGAGTTCCTACAGTAATAGTAGTAGACTTTAATACACCACATTCAATGAAAGATAGAGCAGCTGGAAAGAAACTTAACAAAGATGTGAAAAAACTAAGCAATATAATCAACCACCTTAACCTTATAGACATCTACTGAGCAAAAAACATTGAAATACTGCAGAGCATCTTCTCAGATCACAATGCTATAAAATTAGAAATCAACAATAGGAAGATGAACAGAAAAAGGGCAAACATGTGGAAACTGAATAATGCCCACTTGAAAACGACTGGGTAATAGAAGAAATACAAAATGAAATTTAAAAACTCCTTGAATCAAACGAGAATGAAAACACAGCATACCAACATCTTTGGGAAACAGCAAAAGCAGTGATCAGAGGGCAATTTATAGCAATAAATGCCCACATCAAAAAAGAAGAAAGAGCCAATATCAATACCTTAACACCACATCTCCAATAGCAGCAAAAAATAAAATAAAATAAAAGGCTATAGTCACCACAAGAAAAGAAATAATAAAAGATTTGAGCATAAATAAATGAAACAAAATAGTAGAAAAAATCAACAAGACTAGAAGTTTGTTCTTTGAAAAGATTAATAAAACCAAAAAAACCACTGGCAAACTTAACAAAGAAAAAGAGGGAGTGAATACAAATAACATGCTTAAGAAATGAAATGGGTGACTTTCACAATAGAACCAACCAAAATAAAAGGGTAATAATATCAGGATACTGTGAAGAACTGTACTCCAACAAATTTGAAAATCTAGAGGGAACGAACAGATTACTAGATACAAACTATTTACCTAAACTAACACAGACTGAGGTGGAAAATTTGAATAGACCCATAACAGAAGAACAGGTAATAATAATTAAAAAAAAAAAAAAAATACCAACAACTAAAAGCCCTGCCCAAATGGTTTCACTGGAGAGTTTTACCAAACATTCAGAGAAGAACTGGCACCAATCCTACTCAAAGTATTCTAGAACACCAAATTCATTTTATGAAGCAAGCATAACCTTGATCCCAAAACCAGGCAAAGATACCACTGAAAAGGAAAACTACAGACCAGTATGCCTCATGAATATAGGTGTGGAAATCTTCAACAAAATCCTAGCCAGTAGACTCCAACAACGTATCAAAAAAATAATACATTATGACCAAGTAGGGTTCATACCAGGTATGCAAGCATGGTTCGACATTAGAAAAACAATCAATGTAATTCATCACATAAGTAAAATAAAGGAAGATAATAAAATGATCCTATCAATCAATGCAGAAAAGGCATTTGGTGAAATCCAACACTCATTCCTGATAAAAACTCAGAAAAACAGGAATAGAAGGGAAATTCCTCAATATAATAAAGGGCATATATACAAAATTAACAGCCAACATTGTTTTCAATGGAGAGAGACTGAAACTATTGCCCTTGCAAATGGGAACCAGACAAGGATGCCATCTATCTTCATTTCTATTCAGCATTGAATTGGAGAACCTAGCCAGGACAATAAGGCAAGAAAGAGAAATCAAAGGCATCCAAATTGGTAAGAAAGAAGTAAAACTACACCTGTTTGCTGATGATATGATCCTATACATAGAAAACCCAAGAGACTCAGCAAGAAAACTACTGGAACTGAGACATTTAGTATAGTGGCAGGATATAAGATTGACATAAAAAATCAGTTGGCTTTCTCTACACCAACCAGCAAAGAGATTGCTGAAAAGGAAATCAATACCATTTACAATAGCTACCAAAAAAATAAAACACATGGAAATAAATCTCACTAGGGACACAAAAGACCTACAGCATAGTAAATTACTTAGTGTGGCTTTTGTACCCATAAGACTTTGTAAACTCTGAGGTAGAATTTGCCATGAGCAACCGAGGAGCTCCTGATTGCTAAAGT